TATCCACAGTATTTGACAGGCATCATAGCTTGTGACTGCACAGCTGACATGTCCTAACTCTCTCTCTGTTCACAGGATTAAGATTTGTATCTAAATTGCCAACAGCCTGGCTTAGGCTATCCCAAAGGCAGATGCCATCCTGCCCATGCAAAATCAAATCAGTTTTCAAGTTTTTAGCCATTGTTATGGAGGGTACAGTGTGGGGATTTCATGAAATGAGAAACTTCTTGTTTGCACAGGCAACAAATGTGGAAGAAAAAAGCATCTGTTACCCAATATAGAGGTCACCCAAATTAAATTAATGGAAACAAATAAAGATTTTAAAAACAGATCAAATTCTAGCCTCATTATTTGTCTTCTCACTCTTGCTCCTATTTCTTCACACTCCTTCTTAATTTTCAATAACTTAAATAGAAAATTGCTTAAATGTCACTTTTTACACTAATTTGAAACCCATTTTCTTCAAAGCAGAGACTAGTAAAAGCATTTCACAGCTATAGTTGAGGGTGATGTAGAAAAAAAATGAAGATATATAAGAAACAAAAACCAGAATTATCCTTTAAGCTATTCTATAAAAGGCGTTTCCCACTGGTAAGTAAAAAATGACTCTAATTTAGACTAATTTCAGACTATAACGCAGTATAATAAAAAAATATTCAAAGAGTAGTCAGATATCCTAGTTGATGGGATAAACATATCACAAAACGTGCCTTAGAATATTTTCATTATTTAATGTATAATATGGCCAGATAACTTTACAGTTAGAGCCCCAAGTACTGAAATCAAAGGCTGAACTCCTATTGATGTTAAGTCTTTTTGATCAGAACTATTTTACTAGAATAAAATCAACAACTTTTGTTCTAGAGCTCATTATTTCTTAGTCTTTTCTCTAATATCACAAGCATCCTTTAGGCACAGGGGACAGCTAGCTCTCAGCTTTTAATGTTAATTATGGTATTCTCTGTAGACATCATCACCTCTTCTCTTAATTCATAATGCAGGCATAAAATATCAGGGCAGCTTTCTGTTACAGTAGCATAGGTCACGGCACTCCAGGGTTTTTTTGTGACAGCTTACTCTTTAAAGCCTTTTTTATAATTCAGTAATAAAAAAAATACTTCAAAATTACATTTTAAAAAAAGGATATTTTATTTCTTGAATTAATTAAAACCAGTAAGAAGAAAAGTTAAAGAATAAAAATAAATAAAAGCACTGTTAGTTGTATTTTTTTTTCAGTTGCACAATTCAAAGATAATTCTGATTTCATACTGAACCAACTATACTCAATCAGATTTTTGTCTTCTGCCCCAATTAAAGATGGTCTGTGCTCTATCAGCAGAATACTGCTCTAGTGCCTTCAAAAGGTAAATAAGAAGCATCTGCATTTTGCCCTGGATCATTCCTCATTCACTTACCTATCTACTTTAACACTTAGTACAAATCAGGACCACACATTTTATGTGATGCTCCTGACCATTCCCACTTAACACTTAGCTTAGGTTACAACCTCCATTACTACAGCAGTTTTGAAGGAAACTCATCTTACCAACAAGCCACAAAGCATTTGTAAAGACTATATCACAAATTAAATTTCATTTGCAACCATCAAGAAACAAAAACAGTATTTCCAGGCATGAGAGTCAATTTTCTTTTACCTTTAGCTTTGTTTTGTCTTAGGGGAAAAAAATCAGGGACATAAACAGTGATGATAGTAACACATTTGCCAGCTTCACGATTTCTTGGATTATATCCAGTTACAGGAACCCAATCACTCACTTACAGAATCCAGTTTAGCTGCATTTTACATGCAGAGCACATAAAAATTATTTTTCTTCCTCAGATTTGAGAAATATGATTCACAAAAAGCAAATATCTAAAATTAATCTGAAAATAGAAAACTGTAAGTAGAAGGCTTTCCCTATTGGAGATATTAATTTCCATAGCACCTAATTCTGCCATCAAGCATCATTGTCTCCAACATATTATTGAAGTGTTTTGGAATGTCAGGTGTCACTTCCTCTCTTGCTCTTATGCAATGCCTTTCTTCTGAGAATCACAGAGGCTTTTATGTTAATAATAAGGTATATAACATCTACAAATTAGGAATTTCCACCTTTCACAGATGGAACTGAAACAGAGATACTGTGCCCCAGATTTACAAGTTTTCTGAAGTCATCTTCTCCCAGAAAAGATTACAATAACTCTAATGTACTTTGGAAAACTACTGTGTCCTAAGTGAACTCTCCTGCAATTGGAAGGCACCTTATTGCAGTAATATCTAACACAAAAGAAAAACTGAATGCTATCTTTTTTTCTGAATCCAATTTTGCTTATATGTGTCATTAAATGTCAAAAATAAGTGAATACTAACACCATGGAGGTATCAGTCATGACTTTTAAGCTGAAGGAAAATTCCACTTCACACTTACAAAAAATTAATTCATTTCCTACTATGCTTAAAAGTCACACCATATACTCTCCTATCTCAATGACCAACACAAAATGAGTTCTCTAAATATAAGTTTAAATGTAAATTCACTGACTTATGATACATCTATATCAAATAAGAAAAATCTGATTCTTCAAAACACTGTCATCAGCCTCAGCGTGATTCAAAATTATTTTTGGCACCAGTCAGAAGCACACTCTTCTCATTCTGTTGCAGTCCATTTAAAGTAGAAGCTCATGCTTTATGAAGCAGCAAGGTGGCAGCAAAACTCAGTGCAACTGTTTCTAATTGTGGTGATTATGCAGAGGAGAAGTAAAATCAGTCCCAGGGGTCATGTGAGAGGCCCCTTCGACAGAGAAAAACTTTTCTCTCCAGCTAATTCACACATGGCAATACTATTAAGTGAAGCAATGTAGAGGAGGGGTTCACATCAAAAGTTTTCTTTGATAAATCACTTCTTTCCAGCCTCCACCATTCTGTAAAGATCCTACAACTGGTGACAGCACTCAGAATTTTTGGTCATAAAGCTGCTCGCAGTACTGCTGCCTCCACTACAGTGTGGAAAAAGTGATCTTAGCTAGAAAACAATGATCCAATTATCCTCTGAGCTGTTAACTGTACAGGTAGAGGGACTAGCTTTTTGCTTCTGTCTGGGTTTTTTGTTGCTTGGGGCCGGGGTGGGAGGGCAGAGGGGGTATGTAGATGATTTTTTTCTTTTTTTTTTTTAATTACAATAATCTTCATAGTACTCCTCTGAATCAATAAATCTATTACAAAATAAAGGCATTTTCATCAGCTCACTTCAGCTGTTCTGCCAAAAAAACACAAATCTAAATTACCCAGTATTTTTGGACTGCTTGATTATAAGAGCAGAATGGTGAATCTGCCCCCAACTGTTAATAATTAAAAAAGACATTTACAGCTGCATGTCTTCAAAGTATTAAAAGTAATTATGCAACAAGACTGTTGCAGGGTATGCTTACTTAATATAGCTCAAAGCAATTAGATAAGAATTAGTAAGATGAACATATAGAAGTACTTTTCAATGAAGATATATGTGTATGAGAGGGGAATGCAGGAGGAGCTCCTCATCTGGAAAAGACTAAACAGCTCGGAAAATTTTCTTCAAATACTCTTTAGAAGAATGTGCAGCTTTTAACCTAATTTTTGAAATACATAGTCATTCAGATAAGGCAGCAACAAATGGATCACTGCTGCCTCTGGAAGGAACGATAAGTTAGCCTTTGGGACTTAGACATTCACTTTCTGACAGTTGTTCTTTCTCAAAACATTTCTCTGACAAACAAAGATTATTTGGGATTGACAAGTCTGTGCTTTGGAATAAACACGATTTTTCTCTGATAGGATGTTGGAAACAGATGCTTAAGATCCAGATAACACTTTAGTCTGTCAGGTGAATTGTATAATTCGAGGGGGTCTCATGGAAAAGGTAAAAAGTCACACAAATACTTACATATGCCTGACAGTGCTTGTGAATCCATGATATTCCATAAGATGCAAGAGAAATAAGTCTGTCCCTCACACACTGCAATTCTAACGAGAAAAAGATAATTCTACTTCCTACCCTGTGAGATTGTGGAGACAAAGAGTTCGAAGAGAAGACAAGATGGTGAGGTTACTGTAGCTGAAGCAGTGGCCTGGAGAAATTCACACAAATCTATGCTAAGACCTAACAAATGTATGAGGCAGTTTGATTTCTTAAAAAAATACACATCCCTTTGGGATCACTAACTGCTCTGTAACCAACACCAGCTGTATGCGACGTATCAAGGCAGCCAGCATTTACACAACCATTATCAATCCACAAACTTGCTGCCATATCTATTGAGTGGAGATGGGGAAAAAGGTTACAAAGGCTCCAAAATTCCTCAATACTCTGTTAACCACCAGTGCTAAGGCTGCGGCTCTAAATACAGCTTGTGCTTCATCTGCAGCCCTAAAGGGTGAGTACCCTCTTTGAGCTTTATGTCTCCTAATTCAAGTCAGGATGCTTCATCGCAGAGACAGTGGACTCAGGTGAACACTATGGAAGTATAAACAATTTAAGACTTGTCTAAGTTTTAGTATTTTGTTAAATACATGACCAGAAGCAGAAGTTATCTACACAGGCTGTCACTAATTGCAGTTGCTGCCACAACTAAATTCCTGGTGCTGGAACTTATTCTTTTTGTTTCCCAGATCTTCTTCACTAAAATAATCCCAAACAAAATGCATAACATACATGCAATTTGACATGTGTATATAGACAAGCATTTGAAAATTACTATCCATAAATTACCACAAAATGTTTTCAGATATGATGCAACTAAACACACCTGTACAGAGGGCAGGTATCCTTGAACTCAGGATCTCTCCTTTTTATTAACAAAAGTGACATTTAATTGCAAAGAGCTGCTGAATCTTTCTTAAATTTTACTGTTACTTACATACAAACAAATATTCATTACTTCAAATGCAGTTTTCTGACATGCCAGTTCAGATTTTCTGTTTGAATATTTGACACCAGCTAAACTCTGCACTTATCTTTTACCTGGAGTAATGGATAGCTTGATGTCCTGCAATATTAAAATAGAAGTCAGTTGTATGTTTCATCTCATCAGTATGTCCAGAGACTTCAATCCAGTGTGCTATTGGGAGGCAATAAACTCCATCTACTATGTTGCTCTGGTTGTAAACACAACTTCGATCATGATGGGGCCCATTACCTAAAATAGAAGAAAGGACAATTGCAGACTGTGTATCTGGATAATCTTCCAAAAGATTTGCTTGGAGGTTTAAACTGAGCATTTAATACCAGGAGTCACGTTTGCTGCCTCTTCAAACTGCATTTCTCATAGCATATTATTAACACCTGAAATAATGGTAACAGAAGCACTGCCACAAAGCAAAGGTTCAGCATTAACACAAGTTTTTTGCAAATTAAGAAAACAAAAAAACCCTTTAAAAGCGCATAAGGCTCCCAAACACTTCATTTTCAGGAATAATTAATTTAATTTAACTTCCTCATTTGATGTTGGATAATATGTGACCTCAGCATTTAATGTTCTTACTGTGTGACCTCCCTCTGGGGGGTCGATCTTGCTGTGGCCCAAGGTCTAGCTCTGACATGCCACAGCAGTCTCACCTTGCCTAATGCTGACTTCTACTGAGCGGGAAAGATGTGGGAAAGACCTCAGGGAAAGTTCAGAGGATGGCTGTGCAAGGTCAGAAAGGTGAAACCAGAAACAGAAGTAGGACTGGTGACATGGGACTTGTTACCAGCTTAAGGATTCTAGAGGAAAAACATCAATGTGGAAAGGTATCAGATCCCAAAGACGGTGGTAGGCAGCAACCTAGTGATGAAGATTTGTTTCAGGGAGCAGAGAAGGGTGGCCCTCCTCCACCTCATTCACAGCTGCCTGGCCAGCAAAGGCTCTTCAGACGTCCTGTCACAGACCAGACACATATGGATGCTTAGTCTAATAATGGCCAGTCTTCACGAGTGAAGATCCGGGGAAGGTCTTTACACCTTCCAGCCTGCGCATTGGATTTTTTAGGTGAGACACAGTGTGCGTGGAACTGAGCCCACCCTTTAATCCTAAGGTTCATCTGCCGGGGCCAAGCGAGCTTGGACGGTGGCAGTGAGGTCCTTAGGACGTAGGTGGGTTGCCTTTAAGGGCTAACGAGCCCCACCTGCCCAGGAGTGGCCCTGACCGGGAATCGAACCCGGGTCTCGGCGGTGATAGAGCCGTGCCTTTACCACTAGACCACCAGGGGCTCCATGCTTAGTCTAGAAGCTCATTAAATCCTACTTGCCTTTTATGTATCCTGACTGATAAACAATATGTTGTTTTCATATACAAATCTCACTTTCAGAGTCTGTTCATATGCACTAAAAGATGCTAAAGTGACCCTTAGAGAGATGGTCACATCTGCAATGGTGAATAATCACAATTACCTAAGACAGCCTTGTTTAAAGTACAAATTTTTTCTTGTAGTTTTCCACTAATAGTCATTACCCCTTCTTCTTCTCTTAGAGAAATAGTGTGAGCTTTAGTCAAAAAACAATTTTTTACACCAAGCCAGAGTAAGCAACTTAAATTGAACTGGGTCGTGTCATCAACCAAAAGGTTATTTAGCCTCTAAAAATATAGTATATGTATATTCTCCTGCCCCATTCTTACATACTTATTGTAATACTAATTGCATGTAGGAATAATTATTGTGCAGATCAGAAGTGACCTAGTCTATGGCTTGCTTAAGCCTGTTACACATATACATTATTAATGATGTTAAAACATTTCTGAGTAAAATTATGCCCACAGGATTATCTTCAATTCCACATTGCATGTAAATGCACGACCAGCTTCCAAGCATTACATTTAGGGAAATTTGCTAGAGCAAGAGCATTTGGGGACATGTATTAATGCATTGATTAGAGAGTAAGACTAACATTTAATACTAAAGCTCAAACCATCTCTTTTTTTCCAGATGATATGCAGCACGGTTTTATCATAATTGAGAAATATTATTATTTATCAAAAAGAAAAATAAAAGCTGAACAATTATTCATCACATTGTTTTCGATAAATAAGAGGTGAGAAAGATCAGTACCTACTTAAAGAAGCTACAGATATTACTACTATATTTTTATCTCAGATTTCTAATTGTTTACATATTCTTACCACTTTTAAACAATATGTTAAGACAGCAGTATACATCAACAAATACAACAGTGTAACAAAATCTATGGATGTTTATGACATTTAACTGACGTCGTGTATTCAGAAAAATACAACCACAAGTACCACATCTTGCCTTCCTCATTTTACTTTCTGACAACTCTCTGCAGAGATGCACATCACCGTGGCTCTTCCCTGCATCACAAGGCTGTGTTTGATCTCGACCTCCACCAACCCTCAGGCCCACGTCCTGCCCCAGCCTCAGCCCTGTCCTGAGGGAGGTGCCCGATGCTCAGGGTTGGGGCTGCCCTGGTGTCCCTGGCTGACAATCCGAGGCCCCTGGGAGCTGCCAGACCTCACTGCACCGTAAGTTTTGATCTCTGGCTGACCCAGTTTTGATCTCTGGCTTTTATGCTACTCCCAGCTCTGTTTTTCGTCCTACACAAGTGCTGTTGTACCCACTCTGGCTCCCTCACATACTTCCCCTTCCATTGCTCACTGCTGTTGCTTCTCTTGCACCAGGGTTTCTGCATGAATTTTTGCAAGCACAATCTATGGTTTCTCCTCCTGCTTAATTATTCCTTTTCTCAAGGTGCTGCTAGTCAGTCCTACCAGATAACAAACCTTCACTCTTGTCTTCACATTCTCAATTGCTTACCACTGCAGTCTGCCAGTTTTACTGTCCATCCTCCTTCTCCAGCTTTTATTCTTTTTTCTTTTTTTGCCTTTCTTCTCTGTGATCTGATTTCTTGAATGGCCATAACCTCCTTGCTTTGTAACCTTATCACCTTCACCATCACTAATTCCCTTAAAAAGCCTACAGGTACATATGGAAGTGAGGACAAGAGTAAATTGCTGTGAGACACTTGTTTTATTTGTTCCCTCAAACAGCTTTTGTCAAATCTCATTCTGAAAAGCTTTCTTCTGTAATCATCATTTATCTCTGCACCACTCAACCTCAGCTTCCCACTGTGGCCTAACGGCAAACAGAAATCTCAAAAGGTGTTTCTGTTTTGCCTTTAATAATCAGGTAAACAGTGACAACTTGCATTCATAGCACATTTCATGAGAATTGTCTAGCTCTTTACTACTCCTTACATTGTATACTGATCTATGAATTAATAACCTTCTTACTGAAATAAGATGTCTGTGCAACAGAACATATACGAACACATATTCAACAGTATCAATTATATCAACATGTGATATAATTTCAGACAGGAAGGAGAGTGTGCTACCATCTTCAAGAAAGACTAATTTAGGGAACAGTATGATCACAGCAGAATGTGTTCAGGAAGCTGAATTCACTATACTTCTTAAAAGAGTTATGAAAATAGGCAATTAGCACAAAAGACGAGGATCTCACTACCCAGGTAATATCCACATGATTACACTAGTGCTTCTCACCACAGTTTGCTTCACAAGATGCATTTAATAAGTAAGTTTCAAAAAAAAGAAAAAAATGTTGTATCAGCTCACATCCTGCTTCTGCTAGCACGATTTGTCACAGGAAGACCATAATATTTTGGATGGCAAAAAAACAACAATGCAGGGAAACAGTTCCAGAAGTAGAGCCAGGTGACAAGTTTTGCAGATTACTGTAGAGCTCATCAATAATTTAGAGCTCCTATAAAAGACTGAAGATTGAATTCTCTCAACTTTTATCTTCCAGAGTCATTTAATACAAAAATAAGTCAGTCAATTAAATCAGCTTTTGTTCAAGGTAAATGATCATAAGCTGTGTTTTAAACACAAACCAATAAGCATCACTTAAATGTTCTGCTTTAAATTTGCAGAATGTATACATCTAGGAAAACAGGCACAGACCAGGAGCAGAAATTATTAGATGGATAACCCTCAGTTCTTCCTTTTCCACCCACACCTTCTTAAATATCTTCTCATGAGTTTCCTCTGCCTGAAGCAAGGTGCATCACCTCATAGTGTGAGGTACGTCCACAAAAAACATTCTTTATTCTCATCTTAGCCCCTTTACCTCTGCTGATGGAGCAAACTCCTTATATCCCCTGTGTGTACTCTGTCACAGACATGATTCCTCACACTCAGGCTCAGAAGAGCCAGCCCAAGACTTCTCACAGGCACCAGAAGAGCTCATGCCAAGAATATGAGGCAGGATAAATATCTGGCACACTAAGACACTTATTCTCCCCTCCCTCAACACAGTAGGCCAAGCAAAATCTGTTCTGGATGTGAATTCCTGGAACATGGGGACTTTCCTAAGCCCAGTACAGCAAATTGGGCAGAAGATGTTAGCTCCAGGCAGCAACAAACAGCACCACAGATCAAAAACCACCACTTCCTGTCATGCTCTCCACTCCAGGGCTCTTGGTGTGGTTGGTTAGCTTGTATGTGTGATGAAGGCAGTGGGACCAAGGTCTGCCCAGTCTGACTCTTCTCAGTGCCTCAGAAATATGTTCCTGCCCTTTCTAATTTCTTATCTTCTGCTCAGGCACCAGAGAGAAAAGACAGTGGACAGGGCAGACAAAAGTGCTTATACACAGTCTGAACATGCCTGGTTGTGTCTGAAGCTGGTCATACACACACCAACTTTTTAGTCCACTTAAAGTTTGTCCTACCCCACAGGTCCCATTATCTGCTTTATCTGAAATTTTCTCTGGACTTTCTAAGTGACTTATCCAAGAAGTCCGACACAGCAGCCCCTTCTGACAGAAACTTCACTAAGCTTCATTGCTCATTTCTCAAACACACGAAGGTTTTAATAAAGTAAGTTACCAAAATTGAAGGTCTAGTGCTGAAGCTTAGTTTCTGTACCTGAAGATGGGAAAGGCCCCACCTAGAAGCTGCAAAGGCTATCCTGAGTGTGCTGGGCAACCACATCTGTCAGAAGGTTTCTACTTTAGTGGCTGGCACAGCACAAATAGAGAAGGCTCAGGGTATAATTTGCTACAATCCAACATGCTCCTTGGACCCCAAATGCATGTCACATCTTTACTAGCACCCTTTTGGTGCATAGGTAAATACATCTGTCCCCTCGTCTAGTTTCCCCAAGCTTATCCAACCTTTGT